GCTCCCCCCGCTCCTCCCGCCGGCCGAGGGGAGGGAACCGAGGGGAGGGAGGGCAGCGGGGCCGAGGCCTCGTGCCCAGAGCCCTCAGGGACGGACGCGCGGCTACTTCCCCCGGTTCGGGGGGTCGGATTGTCTTTCGTGGCCTCTCCTTGTCCCGCTGGAGCTGCTTTGTTCCCCCCTCCCCAGAGCCGGGGTCCCTCCCTGTCCCCCCGGGCTCCTCATCCTCCTCCCTGTGCCTCCCAAACCCTTCCGGGAGCCGGGGCTGGGAAGGGGCCGTGTCCTGCCCCCTCCCCGTTCCGGGTGTCCCAGTTCCTGCCCGGCTCCCTCCGCAGTGGGCTCAGCTCCGGCCCCTTCCCACCCCCGGCCAGTCCTGAGACCCTTTGCTCCCACGAACTCATGGTTTCCCCCCCCTTTTTTCCCTGAATGCCCTGCAGTGCCACAGCCACATCCCAGTTCCCCCTGGAGTTCCCAAGGGAACGCCCACAGCTGGGCTTGGGGGGCTCAGGCAGCTGCTCCCCTCGGTTTTTCCTGGGAAGGGGCTTTGGCCTTTGGGAAGTGCCCGGGGAGGGTTTGGGGCTGTGCCCAGAGAGGGATCCTGGGGCAGCTGGAGAGGGAGATTGGTATTTCTGGGATGGTCCCTGTCCCAGGGCCCCCCAAGGCTCACACAGGGGCTGGGGGTTGGCTGGGGAAGACCCCCAGGAGTTCTGTTGGATAAAGGGTGTCCTCAGGATGGGCTGTTCCCTGCCAAGGGGGGTTTGGATTTTTGGGGACTGATTTATATTCCTGAGTGCCCCCAACCCCCCCAGGGCCAGGATCTCTGCCAAGAAAAGTCCTGGGCTTGGTTTTCCTCTGCTCTGGTTTCTCTGGGCTCTCCCCTGTGTCATCCAGGTTGGCTTTTTAAATAATAATAATAACAACAACAACAACAACAATAATAATAATAATAATAATAATAATAATAACTTAGCTGAGCTCCAGGGTAGCAACGTTCCTGCTTTTCCCTTTATATTGTGCTTATGTAGCCTCACCGTGTCCCAGGTTTATTTGCTGGGTCTAAGGACAAACCCCAATCATTTTCCAAGTGTCCCAGGCCCAAGTTTGGGTTTGGGGTGTCCCTGAGGTCCCTGGCAGGACGGGGGGTTCAGGTTTGGGTTTGGGGTGTC